AATCAACTTTAGAAATTTAAATTGGATAAATAGCTATGAATAGAAAATATTTAATGAGCCAATATGAAAATATGATAATATGCTTCATAATTTTGACAATTAACTTTGAATATAAGCATTCTGACCCAATCCCAGTCCTTATGCAGCCAAATAAAAGTATTTCGCTTCTTATTTTCTGCGTAATTCAAATAGTGAATCCACTTAATTCAACTACATAAAATTTACCTTTAAATTTAAATCTAAGAGCATTATTTTTAATTTAAAGAGCTTGTTCGAAATTTGAAAGTGCATCCATAAATTTTTATAATGTGTGTTGTAGGGTTAAACCTAAAAATAAATATTTACCTTAATTTTCAAATGTTAAATCCTTTTAGGGTTAATAGTAATTGCAAAATTATAACATTCAATTCTTCTTGGTATTTTTTCAAATTTTTTAACACATTTCCTGAATTATTAATATTTAATAGTTATTTACCCTTGTTATAGTATGCAGGAGAATAATTAGGGTAAAGAGAAATTGCTGCATTGTAACATATAATTGCTTCTTGATATTGATTTAATTTATATAATGCCAATCCTAAATAATAATATTAAACAATTAATTACCTTTGTTATTCCAAGCAGTATCATATTAAGGATTAATAGTAATTGCTTCATTGTAACATTATATTGCTTCCTCATATTATTTCAATTTATATAATACTAACCCTAAATATTACCATTTAAGATTTTATTACCCTTACCAAACCATGTAGAATCATTTTTTTAATTAATAGAAATAGCTTTGTAATAGCATTGAATTGCTTTTTGAAATTGATTAAAATTTCTTATTGCATTGCCTAAGTATTTATATTTAACAAGTTATTACCTTTGCCATTAAAAGCTGAGTCATATTTTGGATTAATCAATATAGATAAGTCGTAACATTAAATTGTTTTTTGATATTAATTCATATGGCTTAATGCACTCCCTAATCATTAATTTTTAACCATTATTTATCCTTGTTAAACAATACCTCATACGAATTAGGATTTATAAAATTAGCTTCATCGTAGCACTAAATTGCTTCTTAATGTTGGTTCAAATTTCTTAATGCATTTCCTAAATACAAATGCTTAAGAATTCAGTACACTTGTTAAACCATGCTTTATAACACTTAGAATTTATAACAATTGCTTCATTATAGCATTTAATTGCTTCTTTATATTGGCTCAAATGGCTTAATGAATACCCGAATTATTTTATTTAACAATTTATTACCTTTACCAAACCATGTTGAATCACTTTTTTAATTAATAGAAATAGCTTGGTTGTAGAATTCAATTGCTTCTTGCTAATGATTCATTTCTTTCAATTTAACCAATATCAATAAATTGATAATGCCCATCCAAAATATTAATACTAACAATTAATTACCCTTGCAATTCCATGCTGAATCACTTATTGGATTAATAGAAATAACTTCTTCGAAACATTCAATTGCTCCTTGATACCTATTCAAACTGTTTAGATGTTGTGTATATAAAATTTTGAAATGGTTCTTCTAATTCATATCAATAATTGCAGCTATTCTACTTACATTAGAAATAGTCCATTCGAGTAACCTCCGAAGAATGGAAATTTGCTGGTAGCTCATAATATTTCTTCTATATTTAATTCTCCATCTTCATCTTAATCCACTCATTCGATTATTTCTACTATGACCATTTTTATTTAATTTTTATCATTCTTATTAATGATATTTTATTTCAATTGTTGAAGAGTTTTTTTTACTGACTTGATTGGAGCCATCTTTATCAAAAACAAAAACTCTTTTAAGGTTTAAGCAGATTATTCTTCAATTTTCAATTAGGGGTCATCTTTAAACACTTCTAAACCTACTATAAGTAATTTATAATCAACAGTGCCATTAGAATCCTCATCAAAGATGTAAAACAATTTTATCTGCAAGGTTTTGTCAGCACTAAAACCAAATGAAATAAACTATCCTTGAATTTCAGTTTTGTTCAATCTGCCAGGATAGCTTGAATTTTTCCATTTCATTTAAATTTAGATTTAGGAGTAGTCTTTTTTTGAAAGATAATAAGTCAAATCCAGTCCTTTCTTGTTCTCTAAATTAATAATAAAACACTAAATAAATCTTGATCATGAGTAGTTTAATTATTTCATCATAATCTTAATCTTCAATAGGTTTGAATATAATAGTTTTACTGATGATAAATGATCTAAATGTTTGCAGTTTAATTGCAGTTTGACTCTGATTGGGTGAAATAGTTTTTGGAAATAGTTTTATTGCTGTGAATAGTATTTGCTGTCTTAGCAGATTAAATCCGAAGATAATAATATGTTGATTGAAGTCTAAATCCCAAAGCTGAAAGAAAGGGTTTATAAATTTACACAATAAATATAATTTAGAATAATCAATAAATGAAATGATTCTTTGTGATCATCAATGTACACAAAGGCCTAATGTCTGGAGTCATCAAAATTAATTGGTTTCAAAATGAATGTTTTTTTCACATTCTCCAATCGCATTATCTTGCAAGATCTGAAAATTTGACACAATACTTCACTGCTTGATTGCATAGATTGTTCGAATTATCTAAATGAATTAATATAAAAATGTTAAAATCAACCCTAACATCTGCTTCAATAATATTGGCTTTGATCTATCTAGATTAATAAAAAGTTGAATTACAAATGCAATAGAGGGATATTAATACCAATATCAAGACGAATATAGCTACATTAAAGATATTCATTTATCCTTAAAAACTAGTACCATTCATAAGCAGGATTACTTATCTCTCTGCAATTATTCTTATGAATATATCTATCATGATTGCAAATGTCAATACTATCTCTGCTTAGATTACCATTTTCTCTTTGAGACTTAATTAATCTTCAAAATTATTTTTATTTCGGATCAATGATAATCTATAGGTTAAAAGTTCATGCATACACTTACATCATAATTGAGAGCAATACCCCAACACTGCAGAAAACATTAAATAATTTTTGTGCATTCTTATTTTATATGTTAGCATCAAATTAATTACCTATATTTAGCTACATGGAAATTGTCTATCTACTTGTGCTTTATTTTAAATTAACAATAACGTAACTTTTAATTAATTCTTAATATTAATGAATATATATATATATATTCAATTTCAAGCGTTTTGATTATATTTTGGGAACTAGGGTTAACATTAAAGATATACTTAATAACTTGATAAACAATATTAGCTCGACGTGTATGTTTAAGTTTGACCACCATTGTACTTTGGATCTCTCATTTTGACTTATATTCCATTTACAATTAAGATTGATTTAATTTCAAACGGAATATTTCTAACTTAGCTTGTTTGATTTCCATTACAAATTCTCCATATATCTCCTTAAAAATTACAATCACTATAAAATTCTACACAAGGCTCTAAAATTTCTAAAGTGAATTTCTTAGCTCCCCAACTCTCTAATTTAAGAAATTAAAATACCATTATCAACACCCTCATTAAAACTTCCTTTTAAAGTTAATTTCAATGACTTTCTTCCTATAGGTAAATTAAACACATATGATTTCGAATCGAAATATTCTGGATAAGTGGAGTTGAAACACATATAAGTTCCGTAATAAGGACCATATGTAAAAGTATCTATAACTGCATCATCTACTAAAACTTGTAACTAATCTTCACCCGGATCCCAACTATCGAATTTACCTACCATGAAGCTAAAACTAAATTTGAGCCCTAGTATATTATTGAATTATAATGATATTTGATCCGAATGAGAAAATCGGCCTTTAAATAAAGTACCTGCGCAATCTGCTACCCAATTTGACCAATCATTATTAAAACAATCGCTACTTTGAGCATCCATACAGTTTTGATAATAGAGGGTAGGATATAAAAACAGAATTTTAATGAATGAAACCCCTGGCATTAATTCCAATAAGCAAAATTTAAATTTATTATTAATTATTAAACATATTATACACCAAATTATAATGTTGAATTATCAAATTCAGGTGTATAAATATTTTAACTAAATAAGTAATTCCTAGATCTTTGAGTTTAGAGAGAGATGAAAATAATTTCTTCTGTCAGGACATGTTTACTAGTAAGGTTAGACTAAGACTAGTATCTAAATTTACAGTTAAAAATGCAAATGTAATGAGGCATTAAAATCATAAGTAAATTAAATAGATTATCTAGTTCTAACTTTCTTAAGTCAATATTTTCTTTCAATCAGAATATTTAGTTGTAAATATTCAATTCTGAATTAATCAATATTACTTTTTTTCTCATTATCATTTCACAAATTACAAATTGTTTTATATAAAGACATTCACTATTATTATTTTAATATTTAATAACTGTTTTTTACTTATTTCAATTAAACATAATAATTGGGATTTCAATCAAATTAAAAAAAAAACTCATTTTTTAGACGGAGATTCTGAAAATTTGTAGTATTAATATTTTTTAAGTATGATGAAGTAAGTCAAGCTAACTTTGTAAATTTTCTCTAAAATAGTTAATTAAAATTATTATTTATTTTTATTTAGGGGGGTAAATAATTGATTCGAGGCCAGAATTCTTACTCGTATAAAAAGTTTATATATTTCTTTCAATTTAAGTTTTAATTGCTAACATCAATGTGATTGCACAAAAATTGTTATATCAATCGATTGATTGCACCATGAATTTAAATGATGAACAAGTATTTAGAAATTTCTGCCTAAATCTTGAACAATAACTTACATTCAATTCAATCAAGATTCTAATAGATATTCTCATGTTTTAGGTGTAAAAATCAGTAGATTCCAATTTCATTTCCACAGGGAATAAAGTTGCTTACTGGTTTTAAGTAGGTGCATGACATATGTAGATGTTTCAAAATTTTCAAAATCCTATTTGAAGAAGTATGACTGCAGTAAGGGTGTATGTGATTCTTACACTATTGCTATTAAAATGCAGCTGAAAAATGTGCTCTAGCAGGTTTAGATGATAATTGAGGTTTTCATATTTGCACTTGGTGCTATTATTTATGGAACTTGTAATCATAAAATAACTAATTCTTGTAGACTGAAAAAGGTGAGATCAATAATTGATTTCTTGCAATCATTAATCCTAAAAATTATATTTGATTCTCTATTCAATTGTCTATTTATANACCACTTTGAGCATCGATACAGTTTTGATAAAATAGGATTGGATAGAAAAACAGAATCTTAATGAATGAAACCCCTGGCATTGATTTCCAATGAGCAAAATTTAAATTTATTATTAATTATTAAACATATTATACACCAAATTATAATGTTGAATTATCAAATTCAGGTGTATAAATATTTTAACTAAATAAGTAATTCCTAGATCTTTGAGTTTAGAGAGAGATGAAAATAATTTCTTCTGTCAGGACATGTTTACTAGTAAGGTTAGACTAAGACTAGTATCTAAATTTACAGTTAAAAATGCAAATGTAATGAGGCATTAAAATCATAAGTAAATTAAATAGATTATCTAGTTCTAACTTTCTTAAGTCAATATTTTCTTTCAATCAGAATATTTAGTTGTAAATATTCAATTCTGAATTAATCAATATTACTTTTTTTCTCATTATCATTTCACAAATTACAAATTGTTTTATATAAAGACATTCACTATTATTATTTTAATATTTAATAACTGTTTTTTACTTATTTCAATTAAACATAATAATTGGGATTTCAATCAAATTAAAAAAAAAACTCATTTTTTAGACGGAGATTCTGAAAATTTGTAGTATTAATATTTTTTAAGTATGATGAAGTAAGTCAAGCTAACTTTGTAAATTTTCTCTAAAATAGTTAATTAAAATTATTATTTATTTTTATTTAGGGGGGTAAATAATTGATTCGAGGCCAGAATTCTTACTCGTATAAAAAGTTTATATATTTCTTTCAATTTAAGTTTTAATTGCTAACATCAATGTGATTGCACAAAAATTGTTATATCAATCGATTGATTGCACCATGAATTTAAATGATGAACAAGTATTTAGAAATTTCTGCCTAAATCTTGAACAATAACTTACATTCAATTCAATCAAGATTCTAATAGATATTCTCATGTTTTAGGTGTAAAAATCAGTAGATTCCAATTTCATTTCCACAGGGAATAAAGTTGCTTACTGGTTTTAAGTAGGTGCATGACATATGTAGATGTTTCAAAATTTTCAAAATCCTATTTGAAGAAGTATGACTGCAGTAAGGGTGTATGTGATTCTTACACTATTGCTATTAAAATGCAGCTGAAAAATGTGCTCTAGCAGGTTTAGATGATAATTGAGGTTTTCATATTTGCACTTGGTGCTATTATTTATGGAACTTGTAATCATAAAATAACTAATTCTTGTAGACTGAAAAAGGTGAGATCAATAATTGATTTCTTGCAATCATTAATCCTAAAAATTATATTTGATTCTCTATTCAATTGTCTATTTATATAATAAACAATCTAAGTATAAATTGTCATCTAATGAACATTTTATCAAAAAAATCCAAAGAATATGAAACCCTCTGTGTATCATAAGACATTATAAGGAAGAGATTCGTTAAGATCTTATTTTTTTATGCCTTCATAAGTCGGCTGCGCAGTGATAATTCTAAAAAAAATTATAATTAATACCAAATAATAGGATTCTGTTTTAAATTGATCTCTATAAACTAATGATTATTTATTGATTCTATTAAAATTAATCAAATTATGTGATTTTCCTCATTATTAATTATTTCACAAAAATAAATTAATTGAAATCAATCTAAATATTATTTAAATTAATTACTTTAAACCCTTTTATATTTAAATATAGTACAATATTATCAACTGCTGAAAAGTAATGTCATAAGTATTATTTTCTAGCCTTGTCGTGAAAGGAAAAAATGTTTTTCTTAGTTAAATCAATCTCTTGCATCAAATTTCAAGAAATTTTTATAAATAATAAAATATTATTTGTATTTATAAATTATCATTGTTCTGTGTATTTTCTAATTTAAATTTCTTTTGATATCTCATCCCAAGTTATCAAATAGTCTCCATCATCACTTAATGATCCAAATATACGATAGTTTCCAAATTGAATAGATTACTCAAGTTTAAACTGTCCAGTTTGTTTTATTCTTATAATATTGATATATATATCATGCTTATTCAATAATAATTATTTTTATTTAATATATTATTATGGAAAAAATATAGTATCATCATTACCTTGATTAACAATAATATCTTTAGTTTTAGTGAAATATTTACTTAAACTATTCATCTCATAAACATGCATTGAATTATTCCATGTAGGTTAAAATGTGAATAGAGTATTGTTGATAAAGCATAATCGAATTCCATAACAATCAACATTAATTTTTTAAATTGGAATCCAATTTCTATTTTATTCTGAATACTCAATTATTAAGATTAATTTATCATATCCACAAGAAATAAATTAATTTTATTAGTCATTTAAACTTAAAGAATAAACATAACTTTGATGATCTGTGATTGTTTATGAACAGATCCATTCATTTTGCTTAACCTAAAACTTAATAGTGTTATCACCACTGCCTGATATAAACAGATCTTCATTTTTATTCACAATTAAACATCTAATATTAGAATTGTGCCATTTAATTGTTTATGAGCAAACCCATAAATAGTTGTTATTAATTGACTAAATTGAAATATTGCCTTAATGATCTCCAGATATCAACTAATTAGATTTTTTCATAAAATTTAATGTATACAAATTTCCTAGTAGTTGATCTAATATTTGAATTTATTTAAACACTTCTTATTTGAATTCATATATTATTATTTTTAATTCAATCCAACTGCAATAATTTAACAAAATTTATTAAAAGCAAAAGAATAACAATTATTCTACTATTTAATGGAATTATGTTAAATATACTTAAATGATTTTAGATTAAATGAAGATTGAGATTGAATATTATGATGCTATTTAAATTATAATTATGATTTGATTAAAGGTGGGAATTCTTAAAGGATGTTTGATTAAAACTTAGATTAATGAATAAAAGGAAATTCATTTAGTTTTGGTAATGATGATTATGATTTTAGATTAGTAATTGCTTTAATTGGATTATCTATAATCAATACTAAATCAATCAAATTATTTATTTTATCAAACGATTACTAAAATAATTATCATAAATACATCTAACTCTTTCTCCATTTCTTTCATTTAACATTCTATTTTACTCTATAATAACTATTCAAATTACATTTCTACTAAAATTATTATTATTATTAATACATTTTATGATTATTTAAATTAATAGTGCAATATTATGAGTTGGTTTTTAAATCATCAACCTAAAATTTTCAAGTTCTATTATGTATCTGACTGCCAACATCATGTGTAATTGTATGCTCACCCTGTATTGATATAGCTGTTTAAAATAATTTTCTTAATGCCCTAAAAGAGTGATCAAATAGTATATGAATTTATATTGCACTACTTTCATACTGCGTATTATTTAACTTATGGTCTTGTTGAACCTTAATGAGCAATTGACAAATATATCAGTAAACCATTTGCTCAGATTAATGTACAATTCATAATTTTTAGTACCTAATGTGCTATATGTATATTAGGATATCATCATATGACCAACTGTTGAAACTAATGCAGTAATTCTTGCATCTACAGTTGGCTGAAGTAAAATATTTCAATCATGCCAACTGACTTGCTTAATTTATTGTAACAACTACTGTTGAGATTTGACATAAGGATATTTCTTGGGTCATAACTCTTATGATTGATTTATTGTTTGCGCAATCTCAGTTGATTAAGCTCCTTTTTTAAACAACTCAAAGTGTGGTTCAAATTAAATGGCATTTGTATACAGATTCAGCTTTCAGCAACTCTCAACTTTGTTCTAATTGGTTTGATATCAGAGTACTTTAACCTCTTCTTGTAATGTGTCCTGAAAACTCAATCATTTTTTTCATCATATCCTTTTGGCTCTCTGGAGTAGACTGACCACCAATCTTTATTCTTTAAGCGATATACACATGTTGGCTATTATAAAATGAAACCTCTTCCCTAATTATATTTATAAAAAGTTAGCCACTTATAATTATTACTTGAGTCTATAAGCACCCATTAAACCCACAAAGAAAGGAATCTTTTGAAGTTTGTGTTTCCAAATAGCACTCATCCTTACATCAAATTTTAGACTTCTGATACTAATGAAATAGAAGCGGAACGAAAAAGTGAGAATATTGTCCTCCCTCTAAAATTTGACTCCATGTAAAACAGGAAAGTAAAGGTTTTGTGTAATCAAACATCATGTGAATTATAATTTAGCGTCATATGTTCAGATGCATCCACTGGTAATTTTGTTTATTTTTTATATTTTGATACCATCCCTACCAAAATGGCAGGCTTGAGTTTGCATATATTGAGACTTTACTACTTCTTCTACAGTTGAATTAATAATAGTCTCTTTGAGGTGAGTTTTTCTGTTAAACAGTGAAATGTACTTTTCAAGCTTAACAATGAAATCACTAAGTGTATACTGTTTTAATAATTTATAATACATTTTTTCTGTAACAAACTTGAATATTTTGAAATTTAGATCTGCTCCTTTTATAGGATTACGATTAAAATTGAAAATTGATTTATTAATGATTTATTTATAAGATAGGAACGATTATCCATCCAAATTTAATAGAGAATTCATAGATATAAATGTAATATCATAAACAAACCTCAATAGACTGAAATCATTAATGATCATCATCAATTAAGAGTGAGGAATCAGGTTTATTTATGGAAAAATAATAGATTGCATTTAAGAAACCAAATTTTGTAAATATCAAAATAAATAATGTAGTAGTAAATGCACTTTATGTTCCCAAGAAGATTTAACATCAGGGGTTGTCAATTTAAGACTCCTAATTTATTTATCTTAATGCACTCCTTTTTATTTAAAATTGCTTGGAAATAGATTAAATTGACACTTCAAATTAATTAGCTGAAATTGAATAATAGATTTTCGTTCCGCAAATCCAGCTTAAATTCTTAGATAATTATGAGGAACTTTTTTCTAAAACAATAAAACAATTCTTCACTAAAAATAGTTTTCTTCTTAATTTCGATTCTTGTTGTTATTATTTTTCGTAAGGTATGGCTAAATTGATTAGTATTTCACTAAGAAGTCGACGTGTTGCTCTATTTTTAAATTTATTCTCTTTTTTTAGGATTATAAAGAAAAACGAGGTTCAAATCTCCCTTGTAAAGTACAAGTTTTAAATGATCTTTATTCAAACAATATTAGTCTTACTGATTCTACTTTTAATCTCAAGTCTCTTATCATAACAATAAAGGACTTAAATTAAGGTATTGCTTTCTGAAAATAATGCAGAATACGTTAAAACGCTCAGTCAACTCAATAGCTATTTATAGCTTTAAACAACAAACATTTCAATCTCAACTTTTGATTTTAAATCTACTGTACGATTATTTGGGAAAGTTATAGAATAGTATTTATCATAGAAAATTGTTTAATATTTTTTTGGATGTAGAGCCTATAAAACAAGTATGCATTGAAGGAAAAAGAACTCAATAGGAGATATTTCCAATTATTAAAACGAAGTACCTATTGGGTTTCTCATTTGATCTTATACTCACCACACTTTCCTGAGGATTTAAAAATTTGTGTCCAATTTCTTTATATCTCCAGTAGTGATCAAGTGCTTATAATAAGAAAATTAATAGAAAAAACTCAATTTAATCATCACTCCTTAGCATGCTAAGTTCCAAAATTGGATATTTATTTTTTACTAACGTTTTTCAATATCTGAACGTCCTCGTGAATTTAGTCTATTACATTATGATGATAAAACAAAGGTTTGAAAATTAATATTTCACTATTTAAGGTCATTGATTAGGCAATAGGTATCAATTAGGCATTTTTAATAGGATTTACAAAACAGAAATCATAAAATCTTTACTTATAATCCCATATTTGGTAAAATAAACTTCCTTTTTGATACTTATTTCGATGATCTTAGAATATAGTCGTGATTTCTTATAAATAAGGTATTGATTCAGAATTAAATAGATGTGAATATCTTAAAAAATCTTTTTTAGGATTTTCTTGTCCATATTTCTTTTTTTTATGTAGAATGCTATCCTTTTAATGACCTATACGTATTTTACTATTGATTGTTAATTTATTTTTTGTGTTTATTAAAGTAAAACAAAATAGATTTAAAATTTTGGTTTGAAATACAATATTAAATAAACATAGTCCAATTAAACATATGAAAAATCGCTGCATTCATTTCTTCAGTAGTATATTTACTTTTGTTTCTTCTTTTTGTCAGTTTTCTAAAGTTCATTTCTAATATAACCTAAATACTAAAATTTCTAAATGAAATTAAGCTTAGGTTCTTAGTTCTAAGTAAATTGGGCTTGGGTTAAACCTATCCTTTGCTTTCTGTCATTTCATGTATTTCAATATCAATAAGTTAAATTTCATCTCAATCAATTATTAGAATATTGGAAGTATACAGTTTGTCGTTTTATAATATTTTCTTCTCCTTTTATTAAACTAAGAACAAATTAGATGCCCTTACCTTGGCTTCTAGAAAAAATTTCTTAAAGTAGTAATAAAAATATTCTGATTGAAAGATGCATTCTTAATTGTCTAGTCTATGACCATCAATCCTGACACTATCTCATATAGATAAATATTTATATCTAAAATCCATTAAATTTTGACTTCTTAAGTGCTGAATTCTTTTAAAATAAAAATTAATCCTAACACCCAAAATGATTTAAACGTATGAGCAATTTCATTCAGATTTTAATGAAAAAGGTTATTATAATATTTCTTTTTGAAAAATCAATGAGATGACTGTTAAAAGGCTTCAATCTGAACACTCTCCGTTGTAAGGAGTAATTTTTTGGAATATAATCAATAAAATCTCCATTTTTTATTAAATTTTCAAAAAGAATACATTAAAATTGAGGAGCTAAGAAATGAATTCGAGATATAGTATCATCCTATATAAAGGACAAATTTTACTTAGTTTATTATATAATATATAGATGTAGAACACTTAACTGATTATATTATCTAGTTGTTTTTATGTTTCTGAGGGCTTCTATTATTTTATACAAATCTCCTAATATATAAGCTTGCCTAAGTAATTATTCATCATAAAATTAAATGACTTTTTCTAACATTTATGAAAAACTTTTGGCTTAAAATCATATATAAATATCTTTCGAATATATTCAAACTCTTATGAAAATTTTATTGGAGTTCCAATTTAAATACTTGGAAACTATCAAAATTTTTGAATTAGGAATAGCAGTAATATCATCTATTAAATATGATGATCTCTACGATAGCCTGTAATATTAAGTTCGATGATTTAACCCAATATCTTTTTACCATAAATGGGCTAAGACTAATTTAGTCTTTAGCAAAGATGCAGTTTTACCTCACATCGAAATTTGGTTGAAGTTTAACTGCTCATCTTTTGGAATAATCATTAATATTCCAAAGATTCATAGAGACTCAAAATTAAGGTATGATTAAATTTCTGGAAATTTTGAAAAAGCGTTATTTCAAAAAGTATAAGAAAAATGCTTTAATATTAGAATATCTAAATTATACCTTAATAATCCTCCCCTTAGTTTCATAATATTCACCAAGCAACCCTTAGCCTTTTTAAAAGATTCAATTAGTGTTATCAAATTTCACACTTATCATCATAGATTTATTTCTTTAAAATGATTTTCCATATTTATGATTCCTAAGTCAGAGAAAGATCTAATTTAAATAATGTAAAAAAAATATATACATTCTGAATGAACTGTTCAAAATTAAATTATGAACAAAGTATATTCTTTAATTTTCAGGAATATCTGATTATCCTCTCAGTCTATATAAAACTAAAATAAACATGATCTTCAACCACTCCATTACAATCTAATTATTATTAAATCCTCTTCTATTACCAACATCCATAAATCAAGATTCAATATTTATAAGTCTAAATTATAGAGTCCTTAAATTAATCCTGCATTCAGTAGTGACATATTTAAATAATGACTGTTATTTGAGGATTTCTTCATATGCAAAATAAGTTATCAATGAATAAATAAATTTGCGATTTCTTTCAATCATAATATATAACACTTTAAACTTAATCACCTTCATTTTAGTGAAATTTTAATTAGCTGTATTTTTAGAATAATAATTACGGAATGTATTAAATTGCCAAAAATATTAAACAACTTACTTTATATATGCTTATTACCTTTCCCTCTATTTGAAGCAGAAAAGAGAATGTAGATTAGCCATTAATTTATTCCTTATTTTTGATTTCGAATTTT